AAAGGTTTGACCTACTGTAGGTAAAAGCCGATCCTGTATATGAGTGACACACGTGCCTAAGACACCTAGAGAAAAAGTGAGCTGGAAGCAGATGTCTACCGGCTCATTAGCATCATGTTGTTGTGCACTGATCAGCTGAGAGAAAACTTGAGCAGTGCGCAAAACAAAGGCAGAAACCACAAGTGTCTGGAAGACCGTTACAGCTTGAAAACACAAAACAGCAGAACACCTGCCGAAACTGATGCCTATAGAGCTGAGTGGAAGAGAAAAGATTTTACTTCTGTTGCTAGAGAGGGTATCATGTAGAAATTCAGATGTCAGTGGGATATGCAAAATGTTTTTTCTCTCTTTATTGTTGAGAGACGCTCCATTTGTATGAATTTGGCCTTGGAAAAATGAACCTTTCTAGTTACCTCAAGGCATCGACACAAAGCGCTGTTGAAAAGAACTGCCTGCTTCTGTGTGTAGTCACAGTTGGGATGGTACAGCATGAGTAGGGGCCACAGCAGTGTGTAGCAGACTCCAGGCCATGCAAGGATTTGTACATAATTGATAGAACAAGGTAATTAGAATCTATGGTAGCACCTGTTTCTGTCCCTTATAATGTATCACTACCTGACTGTTGCTACCCTCAAGCTCGGCTTTGACGGATGATAGGGTGACAGCTCTGATGTCCTGATGATCACTGTGCAGCAGTGTTTATCACCGTCGGATGGTAGCGTAATTGCTACCTTTGTAGTGATTGGTACTGAATGCCGGTGGGGTACTTTCACCTCACTGTGGTTAATATTACTATGTCACGGCAAGTATTGCCTTGTGATAAGTGACCTGTAGTACAGTTTTGACAGCTGCTGTTTTAGTTTTCAGTTTAAAACTGCAACACTCATTTGAATTACCACAGTCCTCTAAAAATCATGCACAGTGTACAGCTTAGCAAAAGATTCTGTCTACAATATTTCCCCCTGGCAAAATGCAACTATCAAACAGCTTTTGGACTTGTATTCTTATGGTTATACTTGACTGAGGTCAGGTGATGTCATGGTTTTTGGTAGCACTAATATTTTTGCATTGATAATGGTAAAAATACTACATGTCACAGTATGAGTGATTTTGCATCTGTCAGTCAAATTAAGTCAAATTTTATTCTTATATCCTAATATCAAGTATAAATATTGTTCAAAAAAGCCTGTGTTCAAGGTACGAGGCAGGAGCTCTCAAGGGTTCAACAAACAAAATTTAAAAAAGGGCCTTTGCACTCTGAAAGATGCCTCAATATTAAGTTTTATTCTTTAGCTTAAGGAAACACATGGCAGAGAGAGAGAACACAGACATCTTGGCATAGCTGCCTTCTTCAGCGTAGCCAACTTGCACCACAAGTCAAGCACTTTCAGCACCCAGCCTGATCAGTACAGGTGAAACTAATTAGCGCTACCTCATGTCACTCTAAACAGGAAGAGTGGCATGAGGCAGCCCTAATTAGTGTCATTAGGTTTCACCTGTACTGATCACACTGGGTCAGTAGAAGTGCCCAACTTGTGGTGTTAATTTGGTTACGCTGCAGAAGGCAGCTGTGCCAAGATGTCTGTGTTCTCTCTTCCTGCCATGTGTTTTCTCATGCCCTTCCATGCTCAGTGCTCCTTTGCTCCAAATCTCTCATCTCGCTTCACATTGTTCCTATTGTTCTTGAGTTCCCAGCTCCATTAAATTAGTTTCTCCTCTGTTGTCCACACTCTGTGAGATCTGGTTGATGAATGGGTAACCTGTGCAAACGCTAATGGGTTCAATTGTTTTGCATGAAATGGAGATCAGTATTGCATTAGTGTAGTCTGACCTAGTCCATCACTGACTGGGCAAATGCAGTTCCAATATAGTGGATGTGAAAACCACAGGGCAGAGATAATTATCATATTTTATGCTGCTTGATTTATGTCAGAGTGCAGATTTTCTACCAATTTTAAAACAAAACAAAAAAAGGTGATTTCACAGTTGTACTGTTTCATTTTGTGACACTATAAATGCAGCAGTAGTAGTTTCAGTGAGTTAGAAAGTGATTTTTAATCATTTTTCTTTTATACCATAGGTATAAAATGGTGAGGAAATGCTGATGAATTGTGACCCATTTGGATTATGATACTCAGATACCCTGGCACCAGACCAGATGTTGTGAGATTTTTTTCTGCAGCTCCTCTCAGCTAATCCAGGTCTGGTTCATTTAGCTGTCTTCAGGACAGTGTTACTC